AAACAGATTTCGAAAATAATTTCAGCTTTAATAATTCCAGGTATTAATGAACTTTCTAGTAAGTATGGTGTTAAGTACTGATTTTTCCCCTGAGGTTAGACAAGGAAATTACGCAGGCAGCTAAAAATCAATTTCACTTTCAATGTAATTGCACCTCTTTCTGCATGCACCATGATGATGAGCCACAAAGAACCATAAAGGAACATCATATTAAACAAAATCCACTCCTGCTACAATTTCATGCCAACCACCACGTGAAAATTGTACACAAAGCTTATCCAGCAGTACCCCTTTAGCTAATCGGGCTTTCCTCTAGCAAGAGTTCAAAGAAAGCAAAGAACTTTTCAAACCTGAATCGACATTGGCTGCCATCTGAAGTCAAGTACTCCTGCCTTGGTATCTTGGGAAACTCAAAACTGTGAGCACCAAGTGGCAAACTCAAGTTCAGACAAAAAGCAGTCATTGAAATACGTTCTGGATCATGTCCCAGAAACAAGAGGTACCTCTGTTTGGATCTGTCACGATACTATCAAATGTTGTAGACGGGGATGAGCGGTTTTAAGAGGGCAGGGTGAGGAAAAAGTTCTCCGTCTCCCCTCACTAATCTCCTGTGCCAATCTCTCAGAGGTTCTAACACATGGCCCTGGTGCCTTCACCCTACTAAGAAGCTGGGATTTCCAATTCTGCACCACCAACACAACTGTGCTCCTTGTTCACTCCTCTCTTAGGGTCCATACGTCCATAGAAAGCCCACACAAATCAGTTTTGGTTTGCTCCAGCACTTTGTCAGGGAGGAGGAGGAACAGTATGAGTCCAAGGTTGGAAGAGGGAGCACAGACTGCCTCTATCTTTGAGTCCAAGGTTGGAAGAGGGAGCACAGACGGCCTCTATCTTCTCCTGTTCTCCACGTCAAACAGAGATGCTATGGAGCTAGCACACCCTCAGCCCCAGGGAAAGAAAGAGAGGATGGAACATGAAAAAGCAGGCAAAGCCGACAACGCAGGGCAGAATACAAGGCTAATTGCATGGAGAATGTCATATCACAACAGTAGTATCTAATACACTATTATTTGGTGTTGCCTGGTACATCTTCAGAACTGCAGTACTACCGTGGTAATGGAAAACTGTCCACTGCTGTGCCCCAGAAGTACCAAGCCCAGTCCCTGTCTGTTGTACCACACACCCTGCAATGCAAGCACAACCAGCAGCTGTTGAGAACCGTGTCTGAACGCCTGTGCTCACCAAGGCATCTTTCAGAACACTGGAACAGCCAGCTCTTACTGAGCTACACTAAAAAAATCCATTTAACCCATATACTCAGAGGTAAGAAAACAAGCAACTTCCTGTCACTATTAATAGCAGAATTACAGCAAGATGTATGAGTAGGAGACAATGAATGCCAGAGACTTCAATCAGAACAATCCAAAGACATTCAGGAAGTGAAAAACACCCAGATCGCTACAGTGGGATTCATTCAAACATTCCTCTCCAGCTTTCCTTGGGAAAGCTCAGAGGCACAAACAGTCCCTGCATTTGAAATGATGTGTAAAATCCATATTGGGGGTTTGTTTCCTTTTTGCTCAAATTAGCTTTTATTCCTGTGGAGCTCCAACACAGCCCTGAGCAACCACCGGGATCAGAGAAAAAGCGCAGGACTTGAAACAGCCCTTTATCTCCACAGTCATCAGTACACAGCACACTTCGAGTCAACAGGATTTAGGGAGTTAACGAAAAAAGTTCTTAGCAGTCACGCACGGGTATCGCAAAATCGAACATGATAAAACAAGTGCTGCTACCCACAAGTGATGAGAAAACAGAGGCAGTGGGCAGGGATGAGAAGGCTGGAAAAGCAGTGGAAGCCTCCAGCTAGGATTGAAGCGTGCTGCCAGGGTGGGCGTGCAGTCTGGCAGCCACCAGGAAGGGGTTGTGTGTGTCAAGGTAGGTATGTCCTGGAAGAAGTGCTCTAGAGAAAAAGACTCAAGTTATACGAGCCCTGACGCACCATGCCAAGGTCCATTAACTGACCAGCACCGAAGAAATGTACAAAGGATGTAAGCTGTGTTTAATTAACTCCCACTTACTCAGAAATATTCAGAAAGCTAGCCTTCTGTGCTCCTTTTCTTCCTTGGGGGCAGGGGAGGAAGGTTCAAGAACTGCTTTCATCAAGACTGAAAGTTTGTACCATAAACATCCAAACTAAAGTAAACCCTAGACCATCTACGGGACAGCCTATACTAAATGGAAACAAAACTTGAGGTTCTCAAGTCAGAAATGAGGAAAAACTGCACCAAAAGTGAACATAGCACTCTTAATTAACAAAATGGGGAAGAACACAATTAAAATCCTGAAAACCAAAGCCACCACAAGTGTTAATTCCACACACAACCTATACCAAAAGGACAAAAACAATTTAAACGTGCAAAACACAAGTCACTGCTGAGACCAGACTATCCACCACCAAGAGGAGAGGACAATATTACATTAACCCTGGAAGGTTCATAAGTAATCTGAGTCACCATCAAAACATGAAAAACCTATGTTCCCAAAAACAAAGCCACTATTTTCCCAGCAAGCAGTAAAAAAAAATAATATTAGGTTTATAACTGTTGTAACCACTATTACTTAAAACAAGTAATCAGTTTCCATCTGGAGAAAAAAATATATATAGTCTGTCACCTTTCCAATGAAATAACTGTGAAAGATTAAAATCTTTTCATTCTTAAGAGTGCTAGAAATATGCAAGAGCCCTTCCACAAGGGAAGGATCCCCCCAAAATCCCTGATGGAACATCTACAGAACAACCACATTACCAAGAGGGGAGGAGAACAGCACCGCTGGGAACAGGGAGAACAAACTTTTAACAGAAATTATTAAAATTAAGCGTTTCAAAGGTTCATAGTATAAACATTAGAGCACTTCCTTCCTTCTTGTGAATAAAAGTAACTATCTGTTCCTAAGAGGATTTTTATGAACGAGGGTCATCTACAAAGAGACAGGACTATAAACATCAGATGGGCAAAATAAAATGATCCTCTTAACTCTGAAGTCAGCTATATTTCATAGGCCAAACAGCAGGAGACTGGTTTTATATTAGATGGAAGGTAATATAGATGTCAAGTGACATTTCTGAGGCAGTATGTAGCTGTGAAGAGATACCAGGAAAAGCAGAGTGGACACCTCCACAGAAAACAATAATTATACAGCTAAGCACACATCCTCGTACTCTGGAAGGCAGAATTAAAGCTGAAACAATCTGAAACCTCAGAGGCCATCTAGCTTAGCTCAGGGTGGGTAAGAGAGAGTTTTTTCCATACCTAATGAACAACGATCAAAGCATTTTATGTTAATTATATGTGAATCCTTTTTTTATTCTTCCTCTTTATTTCCTACATTTGTTAAAATTTATTTTTAATTAGTAACTAAAGAAATATAAAGTATAAACACGGTTCTAATGTTTTAAGATGAAAATAAACAGCTGTCATTAACAGCTAGCGATGTTCTGATATACCTGTGTTAATTCTGTTTGCTTTGGAAAGGATAGTCCCAACAAATGATTATGAGCATCCAGCCACAATAATATAGATGTAGATGATAAAATACATTGGTCTATGATAAAAAAACCATAGAGAACGAGCCAGTTGGACATGACATACAACCACTCCTCTCTGTTAATAAAAGTTTGTCTACAATGTCACGCTTCCTATTGCTCTGCTGGTGAAGGCTCCTGTGAACAAAGTGACAAGGTCACCGCCAGGCTCTTTGAGGCAAAGTAATTTCCCTTTTTTCTATCTCCTGGGAATTCCTTTGTTTCTTTCCTGAACTAACACTTTGATTTCTCTTACTTTCTCATTAGAGAAAGCCATCACGTGAATAAAACCAGAACAATGAAATTCATTTGTGTAAATATTTTATAAGCATTTTAAATCAAAACAGAATCTTCGTGCAGCACATGGCTGAAAGAATACTCAAAAAAACCAAACCAACAAAAAACCCAAATCAACACACAAGGACGACAATGTACTCTGAAACCAAAAATATTTTAGTAACTAGAGTAAGAGAGAAATACGTGTCTTTAACACATTCTACGCTAAGAAAAGGAAGACTGTTCTCAGTAGGTTGAAGTACATGCATTCACAAATCTGCACGCCCTTTGAAATCATTAAAAATCACAATTTTAAAGGAAGCAAATGCAGCATCCCCTCAGGCTCCGGTTGTAGTTTTATGATAAAAGGAGTCTGGTGGCAAACACAGCACGGGGAATTCCCACCTGAGTCACGCACTCCTGTCTACGTGCCCCAGAACATCCCCCCTTCTGCTGGACCAACAAACATTTCTAGGATCGTGTCATGAACCAGAGCAGTTACCTAATGTTGCTTAAATGTTAACCCACACAGCACAGGTCCACAAACAGCCATATTGCTCCTAAGCAAAGAGGAGAGTGGGGCAGTTATAACTAGGTGAGAAAAGGTGATGACTTAATCAGCACTGCCACCTTTCATACTGTAAAACAGACAAACCAACCCACCCCGACCTGTACAATGTCAGAAAAGAATATTTTCCAGTTGTTAAAGTTGAATATTGTAAGTAAATGAGAATTGCCCAAAACATCCATTGAATTGTTTACCTATGGGCAAGACAGTGATGTAAATATATTAATTTTCACCAGATCTTTTTAATAATACAAGTAATTGTAAATTGATTTATTTACTTCTTTATATAATTGCTTCCCCAAAATCTGTAGCTATTTTAAAAATTCTACCCTCCTTAAAATTTATGCTCGTGGCTTCTTCTCATGATGGAAATTTTTTTTGGCCAGGAGTACAAATTTAACCTACATTAAATCCCTGTTTAAACTAAACACCCACATAAGCACTTCTCTCTACCAAGCACTGGTCAAATCCTAACCCTTATGCAACCTAGCAAGGTGTCACTCACCGAAATTAGTACCACCAGTTTTGTGTAACAAACGTGTGCAGGGATTCACAGCCTCATTCACTTACCACTCTCATCAAGTAAGTCCTCCTCGTCATCCCCATCATTGTCCTCCTCCATCGCCTCCTCCTCATCTTCCTCCTCCTCCTCTTCCATATCCTCCTGCTCCAAGTCCGGGTCCAGGTCCGGATCACTCCCTGAGATTGACTCGTCTGACATGATTCCCAGTGGTGCTCCTTGTGCATTACCTGCTCATGTTCTACCGTGAGGCAGCCCTAGGGAAAAGAGGAGAGGTACAGAATGAGCCCAGTAAATCCCAACCTTACAGCCTCAAGGCTCAAAATCAGAGCAGAATTACTGCATAGAAAAAACACAAGTCTGCCATCAGTCTTTTAAATAACAGTCGTGTCAGACTGTGCATTAAATCCTGTATAGAAGATGGACGCCATAAGCAGTGTATCATAGTGATATAGGCCCAGCATCGCAGAATCAGTATTAGGACCAATATATTAACTAATCACTCAAAAAAACACCATTCTTGGTACCCTTGGCATGTACACAGCAGAAATACTCCTAATACAAAATCTGATTATATAAAGATGCAAAAATAAATACAGTACATGAACACTTTCAGAACACTACCGTCCAAACGTGAAGCACAGAAAAAAGGCTCAGTCTCCGAATCCCGTAGGGGTACCTGTTACCCTGATCCCCGAGCACTGCAAGCATCATTGCAGAAAGCAGAGCGTGGGTCGCAGACAGAAACCACCCTCCTGACTTAGCTGTACCCACTGCCAAGGTCACTCAGCTTCTCCTCACAGACCGAGGTCTCTGTTCCAACCAACCGAGCAGAGGAGGCGTTACCTTGATGACCGTACAGACAGAAGACAACCAAGATCTCATTTTTAAGGGCTGTGTGTCCCTTTGAATAGCAGGGTAAGAAGAAAAGCAAACACAAAGGAAGGATGGATGAGAGAGAATTTGCATTTCCTTCCTCTAAAGGACAAGGCCAGAGCTGGCCGGGCAAAACTCCCGTTACGCTACTCCAGCGCATCACAGCAGAAATCGTGGTACAAAACAACAATAAAACCTACAGAGAGGGCTAAGGCAATCACAAAGTCACAAGTTTATCTGTTCAGATCATGTACTGCCACATCTGGGCAGTGATGCCTATCTGGGCTCTCCTCTTCCATGTGCAAAGAATTATCATAAGGGAGCTGTGTAAGATGGCCTAAAAAAAACAAACCCAAAAACAAAAAGAAAGAAACACAACAAGAAAGGAACATAAGAAAAGCACCTTGATGTCAAGGAACATAAAGCAGCTGATGTGTACAAAAATAAAAAAAATTCAAGCCTCAGAAGAATTACTACCCACACATTCCCCAGAAAGCTTTGAAGAAAAAAGAGGGAAGCATTTCCTTGTTATTCATTTTCCACTGCCCCTACTTCCACATTTCCAGTGTAAACTACAAAATGTTGAGAAGTAATCAGCCATATTTAAAAAAAAAAAAAAAAAGACATTTCAAAGCAGATAAAGCAAAATGTGTATCTACAAACGCTTCAAGAAACAGAAAAATTTCATTTTCAGCTGTGTCTCAGCAGCGACTAGATGAGCTTAGAGACTTGAAGGTTAAAGACACAACTCAACACCCCTGTAGCTGGGCTGAAAATCTAACTGTCAAGTACACCGAGTTATTCCAGCTGAAGTCATCAGTTCCTGCTTTGCCTCTCTCAGCTCCTCAATAACACTGAAGAGTGTCTGAAGGAAAATAAACACAAGGGAGGAACAGGCTTTGTGCAGATTGCTATTGGAAGGGGACGCCTTTCACCGCTAGGTCCCAGGAGCACTTTCCCACCAGGCAAGAGAGGACTGAAGTCCATACACAATTACACATGTCACACAAAATAAGTTGGCTGAGTCAAGCAGACGGTAGAAAAGGCCAAAAATCTAAATTAGCTTGGGTGGATTCGTGCCAGTTTACACAAGCCAAAGAGATTCATTCAGCTCCTGTGCTCTGCTGGTGGGCAGGTACTGAGGCTGCTGAGATATGGTGACCCTCAGCACCCCGAACCTTCTGACATCTGGTGGCTTCAGGCAAGGGCTGCAGACACAAAGCAATGTATTATCACATGTTTTTCTGTGTATTTTAAAACAGCAGCTCATTTGTACTTTCAGATAGCAACAGTGTTTCCTTCCAGCTGATATTCAGCCTTAAAGAAAACAAACATTGTATTACTCTTTATAGGTTGTAGTTAAACCTGTAACTGTAAAGCTACCTGTGTTTCCTTATTCTTCAGAAGAAGATGGTCAGCAGCGTTAGCCTTTGTGGATCTCTGCTGGTCACCTGGGATTTCAAGAGGATGTATTTATTCCCATGTTGTCCATACTGTGCTATAAAGCAACTCACTTGCTATCTGCTGGAAACCATATCAACTATCCCAACAAATGAAGCACCAACCCAAAAAAAGCCCAAAGGAAAAAAAAAAAAAATACAAACACTACTAAAATGGCAGGATTGAAGTCTCATCTACAGCAGAAGTGCTGTAATGTCACTAAATGCTGTAGGTCAGAGAATGACACATGATACAGTTTCTCCATCACTATCCTCCTCTGTATCATCTCTCATGTGTCATTGTTTGTTGCAGAACCTAAGAAAAAAAAAAAACAAAAAACAAAAAAAACACACAACACCCAAACGACCAAAAAAACCCCCACCACACCACAAAACTCTTACTGAAAATTGTGTGTAGGAAAGGATATGGGTCCTTGTATTTCTATAAATAAAATCAAACCCAGTGGAGAGCAGCTATCTCAGACTGAGCACAAAAGGGGTCTAATCCAGGCTTTATTTTTGTTTAGCAATAACTACATGTTCTTTCTAAGCTAACTCTTGACACCCGTTCAGCAGCCCCAGCCATATGCAGGAGAGTTAAACAGAAGCTTTCGAAAAGACTTAATTAAATCTTGCAGAAGCTGGGCGAAACAAAGACTTAACTCCTCTGTGCCTATTGTCACGCTGCTGCTCGTCTTCCTCCCTCCCTCCCATCCTCCTCCTCCTCGGCCCTGGCAGCTCAGCGGCCGCTCTCCGCTGCGTGGGGTCTCGGGAGGGCTGCCACCCTGCGAGGTGGCAGCGGGGACAGGGCAGGACGGGCAGGTAGGCATGGCACAACCGCGAGACTGCCCTGGTTTCTCACACCGATCTGACCCAGTTCGGAGCCTTCCGCCAAGGGGAATTACACAACAGGGCCAGATTGGAGCTGCCGCCACTCTTTTATGGCTGAGTTCCTCCCACCTGCCCCATCTCTTGCCTTTGCACACACAGGGGCAAGGCCTAATCGCTGCAGGAAGGGCACTTTGTGAGAGATAAACAGATTACCTTCGGTTACTGTTTGTCTGGACTTCCCAGGTGTCCTACATGAGATGAACCATCGAGGATCCTGCCCTGCCACAGAAAAGGGAGCTGCACCCCAAGCAATATGCCATAAGGAGGGTTACCAGCACTGAGAAACACAACCCAAACCTCCCACACCACCACAGCTTACAACCGAAACCCACAAGTCCATACAGTACGGTGCCCCCTTCAATACCTGGTGAGGCCACCCAGACAGCGGGGTGAAAACACTTGGAAAAATTCCTCTTGCTTACTCAGGGAGGAGAAAAGAGCTGTCATGTTTATCCTACCCCGGTAGTTAAACCCTGCAATCAACTGCACATCAAATTAACATCCAAGACAGCCTCTCTCATGTATTATGTCCTGTCTTTCAAGAAAGATAAAAATAGTTCTGAAATTTTTTTTTGGGGCTTTGCTTTTTTAAGGTAGAACATTTCAGATAGCAAGTAAATGCCAAGCGATGATGATGGCCACCTCCTCAGCCCACACAGAAAGAAGGCCCAGGTCTGGACAAGGAAACTTTGAGGGCTTGCAAATTTGGACACTTTTCTGTTGTCCTCAGGTTTTTCTTTCATTCTGCAAAGGGTTAAAAATCACCGTTTCTTCTTACGGATGAAGTCAAGAGAGAAATGTGAAAATGAACTTCTTTACTTCTACGTGATAGTTTTTCACCATGGGGTCACACGTGCCATAAGCCAAACTACTCAGTGAAACAGCAAACAAACTTCATGGGATCTGGTGACTTTCCCCATTTCTGTATAACTTCACCATTTCATCAAAGGACTCATCAGCACTATAAAAAATAAACTATTATTTAATTAACTATTACAAACCAGTAAAAAGGAAGGATGCAGGAAAGGGCAGACTGGGCTCCTTCCCGACCTGAGCAAGGAGGAGCAGGATTCCTCTGTACCTCCAGGAAGTCACCGAAGCTAAAGTGGCTTTACAGAAGCTCTTTGCCTGCCACGACACAAGTGATTTAGGCACAGGACATGCTCATTCCTGAGCACACACCCATCCCATACAAATCCCTTCAGAAAGGGCAGGTTTAACACTAATGCTACTCTGGTGATGAACAGTAAAGAGGATTCCATCACCTCCCCAACCTCTAGCCCAGCCCAATATCTGGGACTCATCAAGATTTGTCCCTTAAAGCCTGTTTTGTAACCAAGACTCCACATTGGTCATTGTGGTGCCTGGCCATGGGAACAGGATCAAGCACGCTGGCAAATCGCAAGAGGATTTGCACAGACAGTTTCATAAAACCAGGTATTTCAAAGTCAGTGCTGCGTAATGCCCTTCAGTTTCTGCTACACAGTCATGTTTTATGGTAATAATCATTTCCTTTACCTTTTTTCTTTGGCAGCGAAACAACGAAATGGTTGGTTGGGGCAATAAGATTCCTCTTACACACTCAGCTCACAAACCAACACTTCAAACTGGATGCGTACGGAGGTGACTGCTGGCTCCTCAGGAGAAACCTCATCTTTTTGCTCAATAGCTGCTAGCACCGTTTTGGTAGCTTATAGGAAGCTTTCACTAACTAATGGAAATTTGTCATAGAGCATACAAATGGATCACTAAAGAAGTCATGAGCTTAAGCTTCCCTGTAAGATAAAAAAAATATCTTGTAACAGTTTGCAAGTTGCAATATTATTGCAAAATAACAACAACTACTTTTCTGTTCAATTTCAAAAATCTCAGAAGAAATAAACCTGAGATCAATGGGTTTGGACAGTTTGATTTTAACAAACATTAGAACCTCTCTAATTTCTGTTATGTAACATATTAACATCTCTATTTTACATTATCATGTAAAAAACAGCAGGAGGAGGGGAAATCACTTAAAAGGATAAATATTTTCTCAAATAAGAGCCAACAGT